TTGAGCATAGGTTCCTACAGAAGCATGAAAGAGTACCTCAGGAAAGAGGAGTCTTTTTTTTTCCCCCCCAAAAGGTGACTGGTAAGGGGATCTTAACCCTTGATTGGTGTTGTCAGCACCACGCTCTCCAAGTGAGCTAACTAACCATCCGTATATAGGGATCCGAACCCATGGCCTTGGGTGTTATCAGCACCACACTCTCCCAAGTGATCCACGGGCCAGCCCCAGAGGAAGGAGGAGGAGTCTTAAGCTTGTCTTAAATTTCAATTGTAGTCAGTCATACAGTATCTATCCCCCTACCCCACTCAAGAAACATCTAGAAATTTTATGAAAACCATTATTGATCAGCATTTTTTACATAATCTTTTGTTGTCTTAGACACCAACTCTACAGCATTACTTGTCATACACTGAAGAATCCCTTCTTCTTGTTATGCAGCACCTGGCTAAGAATATAGTCATGGTGAATCGTGGGCTTACAAAGCACATGGTGAGTCAATTAATAGCATCGTAAGATGTTGAAAAAAGGTGAAAATAATTCAGGTTTCATGCCTTATATGCATAGTTTATTTTTAAGGAGTTGATGTTTTAAATGAATATCTGTATCATTGGATTTCGTGATTTATTTCTTTGGTTTTGTTTTCCCTTTTTAATTACTATGCTTTCCTCTTCCAGACTATCAAGAACAAGTATGCCACGTCTAAGCATGCTAAGATCAGCACTCTAGCACAGCTGAATTCCTCACTAGTTCAAGATTTAGCCAAGGCTGTGGCAAAGGTGTAACTTGTAAACTTGTGTTGAAGTACTATATATTTGCAAATAAAATTGGCACCATGTGCCACCTATACATAGTATGTTACATTTATTTACTTTTAATAAAGTTTGTGGCCCTTTTTACTTTTTATAGCTCATTTGAATGTGGTTACTTCCTACTCTAGGGAAGTAACCTAAAAGTTGACTTAAAAGGTATGGTGGGGAATATTTTAAAAACTGCTTTTCAGAGTACCTGGGACCCAACTAATGTATATAGTTGTTAGCTTATGTTTATATACCTGGTTCTTCCTGTTTTGTGTGGCTGGTTTTTACTTTATTAAATGAGGTATTGAGGTGGTAAAAGTGTTTAAAACCTTTACTTCCGTAGTGCATACTACATGTAAGCCAAGTCATCTTGGAATATCTTCTGCCTGGTTCTATTTTAAAGTGTAAGTCTATCACCTTATCCCTAGTTCCCTTGTTTTGTTTCTTTTTGTGATTGCTGCCATAATTCTAAGTGATTTACTTTTACCACTATTTCTTGAGTTACCAATTTTAGCTAGTATCATTTCAAACTTTTTCACTTTGAAAAATAAGAACTTTCATAGTCTAAGTCTATTTTATGTTTTTGTTTATTGGTTAAGAAAATAAAACAGGATGCTGAAAATAAATACAAAAGTCTTTTTAAAAACATTAATTTACCCCTCCCTTACACTCCTACTTCCTAGTTCATCCACCTAAAGGACAGCGGCAGTTTGGAATGTATCCTTCCATGCCTTCTATAATAATAGACATTCATATAAATTGTTATGAGGATTTTAGAAAATGGGTTCCTTCTATATATGTAGCAATTCCTTACCTCATATATAGGCCTACCTTTATCTGTGCATCACATTACATGCTATGGATATACTGTAATGTATTTAACCATTCCCCTTTTGACATTCAGACTGCTTTTTCTCTTTGCCTCTACAGACAGTGCTGTTTAAATATAATTTTATAACTTTCTTTATGTATGCCATGTTCCCCAAACTGCATTTTAAGTTCTGACAGGTAGAGCCAGATGACTTTCTCAATGTCATCAGTGTACAAAAGTGCCTGCTTTCTCTGCATCCTTGTTA